GAGCTCCCTTTTTTTCTTTTCTATTTTTTAATTAAGAATCTCGATGACTCTCAACACGCGTGCTTCAAGCGCGAGCCAATGATACGTCGTTGACTACGAGGTCGTTGAGATGCGATCAATTGAGTTAATAAATCATATCGAGTCCGTTCGATTCGATCTTTTATCACCTAAATCACCTAACACGACAACCACACACACACACACACATATATATATATATATATGTATATTGTTATTGTACGTATTAGCTCGAATGTAAAATTTTCGTGCATCCCCCTTTCCCTCAGCTAGCCCCATAGAAACGTTGGATTTTCACACAGCACTGGTAAAGTTCGTAACCCTTAACTAGGCTTACCTCAGAACGCTTATAACCAATAAATAGACATCGACAACTAATTACAAACGCTTTCGAGGCGGTGCCTCGCTCCGAACTCTGTGTCCCCCGTGTGTACGCGTGTTCGTGTTCGTACGGTGAAGAACATCACCAAGTAAAATCGGCAATGAAAAAAGAAAGCCACAACATGTGTGTATGTATGTACGTATGTAATGTTCGTGTCTCGCTTACAAATAAATACAACGCTCTCCTATGCTCCTCGATCGATCGATCCCCCCCTACCCCCCCGTTTATGATACAACCACGATTTTCCTCCCGATCGAACACACATACTCGATCCACATCGGTGGAAACCTCACAGTTCCACCCTATTTCCCCGCGTCGTCGTCACTGGTGCCAAGCACAGGGTGACGAAGCTTTTCCACGATGAAAAGTCTCTCTCTCCCTCGGATGAACCGGATGAAAAAGGAAGAAAAAGAAAAGAAAAGAAGAAAAACACCAACTTTCAACGCGGAGGAAAACGAGAGGAGGTGGTTCTCGTTTGAGAACCCCGAGAAGTAGTAGCTTCTCTCTCTCCTCCTCCTCCTCCTCTTTTTCAACTTCGAGTAGCCTCGCGCTCCTGTGAATCATGGGATTATTCACAGCGTCGCGACGCAGCGACGTCGAGAGCCACGGAGAGGCTGGATTCACCGATGTAACGAAACAGTTCCTCGTTCAGATTCGTAGTGTCGAACTCGCGAATTCTCGGCACCGACGACGCCGAAGACGTGTACACTGACGAGTGTCTAGCAGCGAATCGTTCGATCAATCTGGCCCGGAAACGGGATTTCTGGGATCACGCGCAGTCCAAGGACGCCAAGGACGCGGGACTATGTGGACCGCCCAGCATGAATGGAGGGCTCATCGGCGGGCCACCGCTTCCGGTGCTGTTCCCATAAAGCTCAAGGTCGCCAAGGGAACCGCCGTCCACACTGCCGTCGCACTTGTCCGACTTCCCCTCCTGCTTCAGCACCATGCGCCGCCATTTTGCGCGGGCGTTCTGGAACCAGACCTGCGAACACACGGAGACCAACACGAATTCAATGGTTGTGTACGTGTGTAGAAGGTTGATTCTCGATGTTCGAGCTTTCTGAGGAGGGATGATCGAGGAGGGGTAGCTTGGAGAGGCTGAAGTGCTTGGTAACATGGAATTCCTAGTTTTTTCCAGCGTGTTTTCGAGGGTAATTTTGTAGTGTCGTTGGTATTTGTTGGTGGAGTGTTTGCTACAAGGTTTAGCGAGAAGTGGAGAGAGTTGTATGTATGTGTGTGTATTTTTTTGGATGCTCGTTCAGAGATAGTTGACGTTGGAGTTTAAGAGTGTCTTATTTGGTGTACATATTTGAGAAAGTTGTGAAACATTCGTATACAGTTATTCGGAAATTATTTGGACGCTGTATAAGCTTGAATTTCTGGTCGTGTGTTTCGGTTAATTATGAAAGGATTGGGTTGATATTTTTTCCTCACGAATTCTCTGATTGTTAGTTCAATGCATTTTTGTGTATAATATTTTAATACAAATTAGTCAAAATTATGTGCAATTATAAATATTCTGAAACTTGGTAAAACTTTCAATATCATGATTATCTTTAATTCTATGAGTGAAATCTGTCTGCAACCTAACATTCCTCGGGTATATCATTTACAAATTGCAAAATTAGAAAGAAATCTCGTATTTGCAATTCGTGCTATCACAAAAAGGGTCAAAACCATTCCCACTTCTACACTTTTCCCAGAAAAACCCAAGAACCGAACTTTCCAAAGAACAATCCCCCCCAAAAAAATCCCTCGCTCACATTCACACAACCTTCGATTCCCTACCTCACGTCATTACACCTGACGGCCGAAAAGAAATGCGGAACAAAAGGAGGCGGAGGGTGAGGAGGATAGCGGCCACGCAGAAGAGACAAGGGCCAAAAAGCTCGCACGCCTCCAATATATCTTCATCGAAGGCGAGGAAGGGTAGCGAAATGGAAGGAGGAGAAAGAAGGAAAAAGAGACAATGAGAGAGCGAGAGAGAGAGAAAGAGAGAGTAATTTAAATGCAACAGCACGCGCAGCGGCACGTCAACGGGCCAGTCCCTGCTAGGATAGCTACATCGTCCATACAATGCAACAATATATAATGCGACGACACACAGCCTCGAGCCTCTCCCTGTCCCTTCAGCTTGCTCTCCCGAGGCCACCGCCACGCCACTCTACCCCCTGTTTTCGATAGATAAAAGACGGCCTCGATGCACGGGATCCACCAGCGTCGCCATTTTCAAGATAGTCTCCTCCCCCGCGGACTGAAAACCACGCAGAGACTTCCAACCGACACAACGTGGGCCTCCCCTTCATGGTCGAACTGTATACGAGTGTTTCTCCCTGTGGTGAACGCGTGAGCGCCACGCCATTCTATGTATATGTGTATATATATATTAACTTCTATATAAATATATCGAATGAGCGAGTATTCGTGCGTTTCGCGATCAATATCAAGCAAGATGGCGACCAAGAACCCTACGCCGCACCGAATACAATAGGCTGGCTCTCTCGCCTCCTCCCCTGGCCCACCCGACGACGACGACGACCTTTTCTCTTTCTCTAGATCTTCTGCCCGGCGCCATCGAGTCACCCGGCGACTCCTCTGTCTGCATGGATCCTCGAGAAGAGGCTGTGAGCTGGGCAAGGATTTCGAGGATATTTTATCCTTTGGAGTGGAGAAGGAAGGGAGGACGGAGTTTGAGACGAAGGAGAAATGGGTTGGCTTTTATTGGGCGAAGATGTAAGGAGTTTTATGGGGAGGAGTTACGTTTGATTGTCGCGATGGGGTATTGTCGAGGTAAATTTTGGGCGATGCTTGAGATGGAAGTTTCGAGTCTTGGGAGAAGTGAGGAATTTGGATTACATTAATTTGTTGTGAAAACGAGGGTAAACGCTTTGTACAGTGAGATTTTTTGAATGTTTGCAGCTTTGCTTGAAATTAGATTAAACGTGATATTGGTAGTGTGTTGACCCTTTCCTGACCTGTGGGACACGTACGATGCACTTGAATATGTGAAGAAAAATTAATCTATTGCAACAGTCTATTAGAGACTCAGTGATCTTCAGATAAATAACAAATTTAAAAAATAATACTATTTTGGTGCAAAAATCGAAACGTAAATGTACGATCGTACCGCTCAAAGGGTTCTGTGAAAGTACTGATTTATGAATGCAGCATGAAGATATGAATCATGTGTTCCAGAACTTTTTTTGTGAATTATTGTTTGAAATTTCTTAGCATTCCTAGGATAAATAGAAAACTCTGATATAATGAAAATTATCAGTTACAAAATCTGATAAATTCTGCCGAAAACTCAGTTTCATTGAAAAAGAAGAACAGAAGAGCGAAAATTGCATTCCAACATTCCACAAAATTCTCAAAGTATATTGCATATAAAAAACCTTTTCTTCAAACCTGTCATAAAAATTCCACGAAAAATGATCAAATCTCCCTAAGTTCACACCCAAAGTAACTTCCAAAACCCTTGTTCCTCCCTTAAAAGAAAAAACAAGAAAATCCTCAAACCGCTCGAAATTTCGCAGAAGGTCCAGAACATCCATAAACCAATCTCTACAAGAGGCATTTACCGACCGATTCCGATTAATACGCTATAAAAAGGCTGCGGTAAGGTAAACCGCGAAACAACCGGAAACGATTTCGCCAATAATCACACGGGTGCCGTCCTTCAAAGACCAGAAGCCCTAGCCTAAATGCCAGCGATTCAACCACACGAGGCTAACCTCTCACGATCCAGCGAATTCGATCGATCCACGAAATCTCCTACGTTATAGTTCGAGTCTCCTTCGTTCACAAAATAGATTCCTGGGCCGTGTAATTTAACGGTAGTGGGTTAACGAGGGCAGCAACAGCGACGGCGGCGGCGGCGGTGCTCGTTACGACAAAACTTGCCCGGCCGGGATTTTGAGTAGCGGCGGATTGACGGAGGGCCATAATTACGGGGAAAGGCCACAGAGGCTCGTCGACGGAAATATCACCGCGGCCCATGCGGTTCTTTTACCTCAACGCGCCGCCGGCAGCACGCACTAATTGGAAGAAGCGCGCGCGTACGTCTCCGCGCGCACGCCGCGCCGCTTCGCCCTGCACACGTGAATATTTTTATAGGAGACTGTGTGGCGTGCAACGGCTCGCTAAAGGGTGAGAAGCGGTGAGAGAGTGAGAGAGGGGGGAAAAAAGGAGGAAAAACGATCGAACCACCGGCTATCCATCTTCCAACCGCGATTTTTCTCTGCACCTTTTTTAACCCGCCTCTGGAAACCTCCGCGCGACCCTCTCCGTCAGAAGAGGCACAGCCTGGGCTCCTTTCGATGGATATCTGTTCAGGAGAACAACGTCTTTTCGTCGAGGCACTTTTTAACCCTACTCTTCGGTTTTGCTTCTTTTTTCTTTTGCAGATTTTGTTTCCCGACGGAATGAAATTTGGAGACTGGTGACGGTGCTTTTTTTCTTTTTTTCTTTTCGGAGAGTGGAAGTTTCAATCGAACTGTGACGCGGTTTGAAAGTGTTCGTTGTAGAGTAGGAGGTTTTGGGTGATTTTGTTTTCCGACAGAGTGAAATTCGAAGATTGTGATGGTGTTTCTTTTTTCGAGAGAGTGAAATTTTGAATAGAATTGTGTTGCGGTGTGAAGTTGATTGTTGTAGAGTAGGAATATTTGGATGATTTTTTTTTTAATGAAAAATTTCGTGATTTCTGTGATTTTGGCTTTTAGGTGATTTTGTTTCCCGACGGAGTGAAATTCGGAGACTGTAGTGCTTTTTTTTTAAATTTGCAACGATAAATATCCTTTTTTTTTTTTTTTTTTTTTTGGAGAAGTGAAATTTTGAATAGAATTGTGATGTAGTTTGAATTGTTTTCTCGTAGAGAAGAAATTTTTGAGTAATTTTTTAAGAAGTTACTGGAATGTTGCACATTTCTCACATTTTCCTACAATACTTGTCATTACGTACATTTTCCAATGCTGTCTACATTAATGTATTAATTCTTCTAATTTTTGTCTGTATTTGGGAACAGTCGAGTTGCAAGTCGGTACTTCTGCACATTCATCTATCCATAGCTTTCAACATTACCTATATAATAACTTCTACGTTTGAATGTAATAACAACAATATCTAATAATACCAAATTTCTTAATGCACAATCCACTTTGGATTTTTCACTAGATTTCAGTGACAGTAACATTCTAAACAAAAGTTTAAATAAAATCACACTCTTCCTCGAACATCTCCACGGTCAAAGTGATCATTTCTAAAATAAATCATCAAATTTTTCAAATACAGAATTAAACAGATACAAAGCTTTCCTGCAACCTCAAATTTTTCAATTTCACAAGAAATTACCAAACATTCCAAACAACAAACCGTCAAAGTTCAACCTTCTTTCACGAAAATTCCCAAATTCCTTTGATTAATGAACTCGTGAACCTCCAGAAGGATCTTCTCTCGGCGAGAAGATTCATCGTTGAAAAAACAATCGGTCAATTTATCTTTCGAGCAACGTGTGCGTTTCATAAAGAAAAGAAGAAGAAAAAGAAGAAATGGACAGATCCGTCGTCTGTTGGAGATCGAAACGCAGGATATCCTGGGAAAGCGGTAGACGACGATTTTCCCTCTGTCGCTCTCTTTTCGCGTACTAACAATCTCTTCTATCTTTAACCTACCGCCGCGTGTTCCACGTTTCGAGTGCCGCCGAAATAAACGTAACACGGTCGCATAAATTCCAAAGACAACCGCGGTCCCGGATCGAACAACACGAGAGGGAGAGCAACGATACAATCTGTCCAAAACGACGTACACACCGAAAAGGTTCGCCGTGGACAGTTTTAGCTGGCCTATGAAGGGCGTCATGCGTCATTGACGCAGCTCACTAATTGGAGGAGGCCGGTGCACACCAGACGCGAATATTTTTCCCGCGAACCGACCCTGTAAATTTCCTTTTAATTGCGCATCGCGACGATTCCACGCCTACTGACGTTTCGTCTAGCGTGAACACGACGTGGATCGTTGCATGTACTCGTGTTAGGCGATCCGGAAGATTGAACTTCATTGAAAATAGTGTCTTCTGACGCTTCTTCAACGTCGAGATCGTACAAATGGAGATCGAGCTTCGGAAATGATAAAGAATAGGACGTGGAATGATTCATTCCTCTGTGTCAGTGAAGGTGCCTTGTGAGTTTATAATGGAAAAATATTAGAATTGCTCGTTGAGAGTTGATAAAGAATAGGATGTGGAGTGATTCATTCCTCTGTCGGTGAATGTACCTTGTAAGTTCATTCCAGCTAGTAAAATTTGATAAATAAACGATAAAATCTAATGTTCTCTTTTCTCAGCAAAGGAACAATCCTACATTTCTCATGACAAACTATTAGATGATTGCAAAAGTTCGTGCCCGATCTTCAAAAGTGGCAGGAACCTCATCGACTTCGTCACAGATCTTTGTTTTAGCGTCATGCTATGTTCCTATCGAAAGATACTCCGCATGTGTTCTATTTTCCAATAATTCATTTCATTTAATTTTATTTTCAAATGAAACGTGCCTTCGCACACACCGCTTGTGTTCTATTTTCACATCGAGCACGAACGTTTGCAATCATCCAATATATTTACAATCGTCAAGTTGGTGGAAGGAAATGTTAAAGGGTTAAAAAGTATATAATCGCGAGCCTTAGAAACCTGAAGAAGTAACAGAACGACTGTCAATAAATAAATCGAACAAATATCAGGATTCTCTATGGTCAATGTACTCCTAGGGGAGTACTCTCGCATACCAACGAAACAGTTACATAACTCACAAGATGGAAGCAGATTGAATCCCGCGACATCGACGATGTCCCCTATAACTAATTTTCTCCTAGCAAAAAAAAACAAGAAAAGAAAGAAACAGACGTACGTCATGGGAACGGTAACTGGACACAGGAACCGTCGTAAAGAGCACAGAACTATGTACACGAGCAAACTGCAGCGAAGAGTTCGATCGACGCGAAACGACGAGTATACATACATATATACAGGAAGAATCGTCGGCAGAAAGCTTACCTGCAGCACCCTTTTTGGCAAGCCAGTTTTCTGGGAAAGTTGCTTGAGATCCTTCGCGTCTGGATTGTGATTGATCGCGAAGTAACTCTTCATCGTCCTTAACTGGTGATGCTTGAAACTCGTTCTCATTCGTTTTGTTCTGCTGTTGGAACCAGGTATGCCAGGAGTCGTCGGCCCTCCTCTGCCGAAGGGCATATCTATGTAGTCCGCGTTCAAATCTGCAACATAAATCCCCAACATCCGGATTATGCGTCTTAATTAAACACCGGTGTCGCGGGGTATTTTTGAAGTCGCCCGTATCGGCTGTATCAGCCAGGGGGATCTTTTCCGGCGGCGCGGCTGAAACTCTCGCGCGTCCCGAGGGTTGGACCAACGGATTCGATTTGTTTCGCCTTGAACGTCGTTCGTCTCGTTGCTACCACTAAATGTCAATAGCGCGGTGACACTGTTGCGAACGTTTATCGTTTGTTAAATGATCGACGAGCTGAAACGGTGCACGATGTAAGTGCCAGAGGTGAAAATTTTCAGTATCTTCAGCATCGTTTATCAGGCGAACGCTATGAATTTTCAGTGTTCACAGAGGGACAATAAATGGTACATTTTATACCGTTTCAACTACTGAAGTGTTTTTTTTAGGTGAACTGAAAATTTAGATGAAATAGAGTTTGGATTTATTAGGGTGTAGAGTGATTGTTCTCCTGACTAATTTAGTAGCGTTGGAAGTTTTTTAGGAATTTCTTTGAATAGAATTTTTCTGCTCTGTAAGAGTACTCTCTATGGATGGAATATGTATTGAAACGTATATAGTAATATTATTAATGAAAGTAAATAGGAATTAGATTTGTTTGTTTTATGCATCAGAATATTTTGATTCAATATTTTGATCATTGGTCAAAGTATTTGGTATATCACAATACTAAAAATGAAGCATTGAAACTTCAACCATTTATACAGTGCTACTCAAAACTCCTTCTCCGAGCTAAATACAAGTATTAATATCGATTAAATAAAACAATATAATCACATTTATCCACAAATTATTCTCAATTAAATTTCTCAAGGCTGACCATTCTCCCTCACGAAAATAGTGTCCTCAAGTGAAGCATTCATTCAGCTATTCTCAGAATTAGTTACTACATTCCAGCAATAAGAACAGATTTCAACCTTCTCAGTTACTCGTTCCTCTCCGAACAAGCTTCCTCATAATCCATCCTCATCATGAATGACAAAGAATGATAAAACATTCCCTCAACCTGACGAACATTCGACGGACAATCCAATCTGGCAGATTGAAAATGTGAAATGTGATAAAGCGATGGAGTGTCTCGATGAAGAATAAAGTTATCGCAGCAACAATTGGCCGAGAGGTCTCGAAGGCAATACGAAGAACCGTCGGAAGCAGCAACGCGGCTGTGGTCGCGACTCCTAGCGCTGTTTGATGTGTATCACAGCTCATTAGCTCCTCGAGTGCAAACAAGAAGGGTGATAGCGTATGCGAAAGACCAGTGGATACACGGCCAATTACAACTCTATGCAGCAAATAGTTTGCAGGCACGATACCTCATTCCGGTATACCCTCTATCTTGTACCCGGACGACTTGGCCGTCGACGAAGGATAAAAGCGACGCTCGACAGTCCAAACCAGATGCTCGATCGATAAGATCGAGATCGATTCTGGTATCGCGTGGAAATCTTCGACGTTCGTCCAGGATGAACGAGCCACTTTTTTTCTCTCTCTTTCTCTCTTTCTCAGATCAGTCTTGCTCCTACTGTTCACCACTGTGCTAACGTCCAGTGAACTGGATTCTGCGAGTTTGTTACAGTAGCTGATGAACTCTCTTAGATCTCACGGTGATCCCTTGTGAGAATTTCTAATTACCAACGGGCCGATTATTCAGAACCGTGAGAGAATCGATATGGATGCCCCAGGAATCGGTGTTTCCTCTTCCGTTTACTGTACCGTGTTCAGTCTGTGTAAAAATTCGGAAAGACTGACGAGGAACTTTTAACCCTTTCACGGTTTAGCGTCCACTGCATTGCACAGGCTCTGATACGTTTGATACGTGTAACAATTGTTACTAATTTTTAACGTAAAAATTCTCTGGTGACAAATCTGTTATCAAAGACCCAGTGCTCAAGTATTCTCGAATAATTCCATCGTCTTCAGATCAATGCACAAAAGCTATCCAATATTAGTTTGACCCATCTTGGATTGCTTGGGTATTTTAATATTAGGTATATGCAAATTTTCTATCGTTTGTAAATCGACGACAGTAAAAGGCACTGTATGTTTCTTTTCTTATTTAAATTTTCACTGAATATAGTATTAATATTATATTACTCTTATTTTCATAACGACGAATTAAAAATACAATAAAAAATAAATACACGTTATCCAGAAAAACACGATGGGAACTTCTGCATAGACGTAATATGTCCAAATTATGTCCTGGCGCCTTCATCACTTATTACGCAATGCTCACTTATGCAACAATGCTCTAAAATTAAACTACGACAAAGTGTCAAGGGGATGGGATCATGGTGTTCAGCTATGGTGTCCAGATTTCATAGTAGCCTATACGTTCCACAGAGTCCCAGAGAGTAACTATGCAAAATTCGATCAAGATAAGTGAAAGTATGCAAAAGTTAATAGGAAACATTCGTACAAATATTATATTTCACCGCACTTCGTCACATCTAGCACACTAATAAAACCCTAATACACGTCCTGAATAAGAAAGATTCCGTGGCCACCGTCGTGAAAACGAACTCTCCCTGGAAGAAAAGGAAAGCGTGGAAGAGGTGCACCAGGCGACCTTGCCAGCGGAGAGGGTCCAATCGACACAGGTTCTCTCTCTCCCCCTCCTATCAAATTATTTTATTTCCGTCGATAAATTCTCGCGCCTCCTTCAGGCCGAGAACCACCTCCTATCCTCGCGGCCAGGCCAAAACAGAACAAATAATTCCCGAGTCATCCGTGGGTCCGAACGTCGGGACATCATCGTTCGCGTACACCGAAACGCCTCGCCACGATCTTTTTCACCGAAAAACGGACAAAAAGAACGGAAAAGACGAGGGAGAAAAGGAAACTGGTCCTCGCGGAGGTAGGAAAGGGCCAGAAACAGCCAGACCGGGTGGTTCGTCCACGGGGGACTCGTCTTCTTCGTTCCATCGTGCTCGTTCCCACGGTCGGTCAACAATCGAAATTAAGTTCTCGAAAGAGGCGGGAGAGAAGGAAGCTGCCGCGGCGCGGCGAGGCTGCCCACGCGCGACACGTACACGCTTTGTTGGGATTGGATTCGTGAATTTATGTCGCGGCGACAAATTTTATCAGGGTTCGGTGGCAAACACCGTGCGCCCACGCGTGCCCGTAAATCACTTGCCGGGCTGTGCAACACACCACACGGGATTCGTTGTTGTGTTACGTGCGGCGCGATCTCTTCTTGACCGCGTGCACCGCGACCCGGTGTGTCCGGCGCTCATGTAGGAATTTTCGTGCACGAATGATCGCGATCGTGCCACGCCGAACGACAATGAAAATTCTACAGGCTGATCCAGGTTGTTGTATTCCTGTTGGTGGTGTTCCGTGCCACGGGGTAGAGAGAAGGTTAGATAAGACGAGCAGTCTGTCAGGTTCACTCGAACGGGGTAAAGTGTATACGTGTTACGCGGACAGCTGAGAGTGTGATATAATTAGGGGGAACGAAGCTGGTATCTGGACGAGTGTCGAGATGTTTTTTCGGTGTGCTCTGCTTGTTTCCAAACGGAGGAATCTGATTTGCCACGGAGGATTTGTAGAATGTTTTCGTTCCTTCTTGGTGGACAGTGGATGTTTTAGGACGATTAGGTGGGTGTATGTATGCATTCTTATTGCACAATTCTTCGAGTGAAATTTGGAGATTTAAATGGCAATTGTTACGAAGTAGCTGAAAGACTTTGAATTTCTTTTGGAGATTTTTTGTGCTGTCTGCAATGAAAGATGAGATTCCACTTAGCAGTGCATACGAAGAATTTCTAAGCTCGCGTCATCGAGATGTTTTCTTTTACCTATTTTTCTTTTTCTCTCAAATTACCAGACGTTAACTTGTCAGAAAATGAGTCGTCGATGAATTACATTGCATGCAGACGGTTCTCGCGCTATTCATTTTTCGAGATCACAGGTTCAACACACCCGTGCCTCCTCTTCTGCTCCTACGGCGCAATTTACAATGTATTCTTGTTAAGCAAACATTCGCTCAGTTCACGGTCCAAAAAATCGTACAGCAATTTGGTGGAGTTGCATTGGTCTGGGGCTTTCTAATTGCCAGCCATGATTATTGCGTGATACATTCTAGCACGACCATTGCAATTTGCATGTATTCTATCGGCGCGTTTTTTTTTCCTTTTTCCTTTTTCTTTTACCTTCATCTGCAATCGAATCTCGAAAATTGTGCATGAACACGTACACGTATGCCAGTCTGGCAGAACGCGTGTTAATTTGCGCATGAAGAATTTCTCTAAAATAACTTTTGAATTCCTCGAAGGACAATGCGCGGGGGGCTTTTTATAAATCTGGCACGTGGTGCAACCGAGAAAGCGATGAATCACTTCGTGACTGTTAGGATGCTCGCGTCCATTAATATATCATACAAGTCAAAATAATGGCTGTAAAACAATGATGCAAGGTTCCATTCGTCGAGTAAACCTTCGTATTCTTTAACGTATCGGGGTATAGTTGATGGAATAAAAATATAGCTACTCAGGTGACACGAAAAATTTCGATCCATCAGCTCTTTCGTATTCCAAATTTTTTAATTGCACTTTGTGGAAGAAATAGAGCAACAGTGGAACGTCTCTCAAAGGTACAAATCTCCAGGTACTCAAAAAATAGAGAAAAATTCACCCTCGTTACTTTCACCTCCTACTTCTATTTACAATTTCCATCTCCTATTATTTTATATCACTGTCTTCACCGATTTCTTCCAATTCCTTATATTTCCCTAAATACGGTATATTCGGTGTAAAAAATATAGCAATTTAAGTGACACAAGAAATACTGAAATCGTTTACTATTTTCACACTTTCCAAAGGAATTAAATAGACCTTATGGAGAAAATAAAGCAACACTGAAATATCTCTCAAAACAATCTCCTCGAAGGTTCAAGTCTCCTAAGTACCTACCCAAAAACTAAAACACAAAAACTCACCCCAATCATTTTCACCTCTCACTTTCATTTACAACTTTCGTCTCCTACTATTCCACACCACTCCCTCCACTTCGCTAAATTTCTTCCATCAACTGTACATATCTCCGTCAGAATAACTCACCTATATTAGCGGTCATAGCTTCGAGATCCTTAGGTTTCCTCTTCCTAGGCCTGCCCTTCTGTCTCGGTGGCGGCACCACGGCGGCGCCATTGAAGTACGGTACCTTGGGGGGTGAGCCAGCGTCGGGCACAGACGGCGTCGACGGTTGAAGCGGTACCGGGCTCACGTGACTATGCGGATGCTGCGGATGCATCGAGTGGTGAGGGTGCGGTGGATGATGATGATGATGGTGAAGGAATTCTGGCGAGGGGAATGGTTGACCGGGATAGTGAGGGCCAGGTGGATAAACCGGAACTGGAGGACTCTGGGAAGGATGCAGTTCCGCCGCCATCTCGTAATGCATCCGACAGAGGACCGCGCCGTCCCTCATGCCAAAATGATCACCCTTGGTCAGAGGAACCGCGCAAGCAGCGCAAGAGAAGCAACGAACGTGGAACACCAGATCCCTGGCTCGCATAACCAATTCCGACGCGAGGATCGCAGCTTGGCATCGAGCGCACCGCTTCATGCTGCCGAACATTCTGAAAAATCAATGGAATGTCGATATTACGCAACTGCAGATAAAAATGGTCTTTTTAACACTAGCTTTACGGAAATTTCTTATATACCTATCTCTACGGACTAGTTTCTTTAAAAAACAACATATTATACACTATTATCTTATAAACGAAACTACGTGATATTATATAATCCTATAAAATTTCTAATAAGCACAAGTGGTAGGAGCGATTTCTGTAATTTTCCTTGTGAAATTCGAAATGCGTCAAAATGACGCAAATGTAAACCTAGTGTTAAGTATAAAGTAACCAAATAAAATTTCCAGGTATAATTACTCGTTGCAAGCGAATATGTAATTAAAAATCATCTTTTGTAATAATCTTCTCTTCCAAAAATTTCCGTTCTCAGAAAAGTCAAAGTCACCACGTTCCAACCATTGTCACGTTAACCCTTTCATTGCTGTCGACGCCTGCAGGCGCTGTGAAAATTTACTGGTACTGTGCTGCAGAGACTTTTCCGACGTACTTTCACTTCCGTGCAATCCTTAATTTTATTCCTTACACCAGCGATGAGCAACCTGTGGCCCGCAGTGGGCCAAAACTGGAAACCTTGTACCTACTCTACGCGGACCGCAACGAACGCAGTATTCAATACTTAAATATGTAGGACGAGAATGAGTGAGAGAGAGAGAAAGAGAGAGAGAGAGTGTCAACAAACATTGTCTGGCACGTAGGCTCGGTTCTTATAAGACGGACTCTCCTCTTCTCGGTTAACGTACTTTTCGTACTCGTGTTTATTGTCGTCTATTTACTAGCTTCTGTCGGTCCTGGCAGCGAAGAGAGGTATAAGAATACGTGCGGAAATAGGCTTAGCTCACTATCAGTACTGGCCAGTGTCTTAGTGTATCGAGTATTGTATTGCATTTAGCATTCAGCAATCGTGGACCTGTATCGATCCCTACAAATATATTAATCAAAGAATTTTAATTTATAGGGTGAATTTGTTATTTCTGACATAGACTTACAGTAAAACGCTTTTCTCTTAGGTAATTCAATTTACTTTGTATTAGCAATATGTACACAGTCCCTGTAGGTCAGTGACTGAAGAGCCAATTGCGACCCGCGAGCCGCGGTTTAATAACAAAACAAATGAAAGGAAAGGTTTCGCGGTCACGATTGAACTTTAGCCGCGGCGAAAGGGTTAAAATGGTCCCGAAGTCTATCGAAAAATCTATCCAACTTTCACTACGATAATTTCCCCTCTATCCTCGAAACACCCATTCCACTAGCTCGTGGAGACCTGTCAGCTTCAAGAACCGGCAGCGCGTGCGTCTGGAGTGGCGCGAGGCCAGGGGCTGTCACGTATATCTCCGCGTTTGCGGCTGGGAAGCGGGACTGTATCCGAGTGGAGCCGGCATCAGGGTTATAAGATCGGCCACGTCTCTATCTAGGTTCTTTAGTACGGCTGCGAGGGGACGTAATATATTTGGGAGGAGGTGGAGGAGCGAGATAGGTGGTTAGGTAGGTAGCCGTGGTGGATGTCGGGTAGATAGTCGACCGGCTTCGGTAATGGAGACTGCAGGGTGCCGCTAATGCAGTAGCGATGTCACGGTGCCCGTTGCATCGGTATATTCCTTCCCTTTCCGCCCTTTACGCTCTCTCCGCGATTTTACCATACCGTGTGTGTCTCGTCCCTTCCTTTACCTTCGCGATATCAACCGAGTTTCTACGTGTCTCAACTCCTCTCCTCCGCCTCGCCCCGTTCGCCCCTCTTGGTCGCCTGAATGTGGACGCCTCTCTGTCGGTTACTCGTTTATCTGTGCCTGGCTTCGACTGTTCATTTCTTCTTCTTCTTCCTTCTTTTCTTTTTCTTCTCTCTTTCTTTTTCTCGATTTAAACGGAACCCTATCTGTGGGACACGGCGGATATCTCGGACGATGGGAAACATTCTCCATACGGATGTGTTTGTATCGTTTAAAGTGAATGGAAAAATGGGCGCCGCCTGCATCCCGCAGTTACGATAATTTCTTGGTTATTTTTGTTATGGCCGGCATGCCGCGCCTCTGCGTAGTGTCGGCGAACGTTGTACGGACGTTGCTCGATTTCTTGCCTCGTTAATTGGCCCGACCTGCTCGACAAAATATGCCCCCGCGACGCACGGTGACCAACGCCGCTTCGATAGAACGTTTAGCCTCTGCTGGCTTTTAAGTTGCGAGGAATAGTTGTCTTGCAAATTGAGAGTTTCGAGAGGAGAGCCTGAGGTAGGGTGAAGTTCATGCTTGTTGGACACGTGAGACACGTATTTTAGATACTTTATGCGATTTTCGAGCAGGTTTTGTCGTTTAGTCGCGAAGTTTAGAAGTCTTTAAGTTGAGAGTATTTAATATTAGAGATTATCGTTGAAGATTTTTCGGTTGTTCCAACACATGTTGAGAATTGCAAGGTGGAAGGAAGAAATTCTGAATTGTTGGCACTTTGCAATTGAGATCATTGTATCAACAGCTCTGAACCATTGTTTTCGAAAATTGTTCGGTTGTTTCAATGCATGTTGAGGTTCTCGTTAGCACTGTAAGGTAAAAGGAAAAGTTACATTTGAATATTTGAATATTCTTTTACGTGCATTCTGTTTGACAAAGTCGAGAGAATAATCACTGACAATGATGACAGGCATTCGTTTATCAATCAGCAACTATAGGTACAAAGTTGTGATACCGAAAAGCGTAGTAACACTTTACTTAATGAACAACGATTCTTTTATTCCTCAGAACTCTATGATAAATCATTTTCAGAGATATGTTCACATGAACTTTCTTTATCTACCTGTCCTTCCTGACACCAACCTAGTTCGACACCCTGTGTATTAATGGAAATATTCTGATAAACCGTGTTATCTCCTAGGAATAAGAAATTCGATCTTAATTAGGTAACATCGGAACCGAAAGATGAAAATGGATAGTTCAATCTAGATTTCGTTCAGACAGCATAGAGAAAATTAGATTCCTCGCTGAGAATAATCAAAAATTTTTCTACAACCTGTCTCCTTTGTCTTCCACGATCCGAAGAAATGTGAATTGTTAATGCGAGCTTGAGAAGGAAGCGGTTTTCCTGACAGAGCCCTCTTAAATCATGTCAACGCGCGTAGCGAGACAATGATTTTTCAGAGATCGACCGATATATTGACGGAGTGAATGGGGAAATGCGGGAAAACAAAAGGAGGATGTGGCCGCGCGGAATCGTGCACGCACCGCGGAGCAACGATCTCAGCAATTGGAAAACGAGAAAATGGGGAATAACGATCAGATATACCGGAGAACGGAAAAGCAAGCCGAACACCGCGTGTATAACGAGTTTCGTTGCTTCTCGATACTGGGGATTTCTTCGATATTCTACAAGCTCGAAAAGGGAACGATCTGACGTGTTCGATACCACAGCCAGACTAAAAAAAATGTGTAATACAACAGCCTTCTGTCCGGTATCTCAATTAGCACTGTATTCCAGTAGTCCTAGATTTATTGCTGTGTTCAAAAAGTTCCCGTTATCGAAGATTATCGAAGATTATCGAAGAATTTAAAGGAACAACAAAATATAAATAAATTTCAAATAAAACGTAGAGAATGCATATTGCATACATATCTTTGGCAACTTTCACATGTCAGTTTATATTTATTATCGTTCCTGACACGTACAAATCATCCCTCAAGCTTCTGAATTATTGTTGTTCCAGCAATTATTTTTGTCTATATTTTGCTACCTGTGGCCTCTATTAAAGTTAAAATTTCTTTAAGTATACGAAGACATAGTATTATATTTCCAATTATCATGAGCTGAGAAGCCTAAGCTTTCGAAAACGTAGCTCTAAATAGATCTAATAGGCTTCAGAGAGTTAATTAGCACTACATTTTGGAAGACATAGTATTTCCTAAGCCAGTTATTACGAACCGAGGGCTTCCATAGGCCTCTGAGTGTTAATTAACACTCCATTTTGGTAATCCTAGTCCTTTACACGTGAATTTATGTGAAACATACACAAACCTCTAGTAAATACCTCAATTAGTATTTTGATTGACCTCTAATTCAGATATCAAGCTAAATTCACAAAAACATGTTCGAACGGATCGTTTCAATGACTTCTAGCGTATGTACGTCACAATTCATCCTTCAAACTCGATCAATATGAAACCTGACCGTAATACAAACCAAATTAATCCTCTTCCTCAATTTCACATTTAACTGAACAACCTCCTCGAGTCCTCGTTAGAAAAATATTCGGTCCCCAAAGGAGTCCTACAAGTAGACTCGATTCACAGTTCCATTCATGCGTCCACGAGAGTTAACGTCAAGACGTGTCAACACCTCTTCACAGGGTGACACAGGGTGAAACAACCTGAACGTCACGACAAAGTAGCCAGTCATTCAGCGCCCTGTCCTCGGTGTGTTGAGTGCAAAGCTATTCCATCGAACCACAGAGAGAGAGAGAGAGAGAGAAGTTCCAAGCATGCACTCCCCGAAAAACCTAAACCTAATCTAATGGATTAGCCACGGCGAGTTCATGGGCTCTGTCGAGGGTCTCTTGACTCGAGACACATTGTTATCGTTTGCTGATCCTATTGACAGCCCCAAGCATGCCACGCATCGTGTGCACAATAGCTGTGGTGGTCTGGTTTGCGCCCAGCGGGACCACGCCGCGTATTTTCGCCTAATCGGATCCACTAGAGCGTGTTGGGTAATCGAATGACCCTGGTGAATTCACCTTTTGCTTCGACACACATAGGTGCTCTTCTTGCGAAGCTTTCAAGCTTTCTGAAGGTGTTTGCCAGGGGTTGCGGTGTCTTTTGTTGCGTTCAGAAGCTTTGTTGTTGAGATTCGCTGGCTACTAATTTGTGGTCTTTTTTTTTTTAGAATGGTAAGAAGATTCTGGGATATTTCATTCTTTCTTTGAAAAAATTCCTATTTTAGCTCTCTAACTAGCTCTTCGCATTTCGAAATTTTAACAAGGCTTGCTAAAGTTGTTTGTTCTTTTGTGA